GTGAATATGCCTTCTTTCAGTGTTGCGCCTTTGGGTTATGAAGGTTCAATCTTACAATATGCTGATGAAAAAGACGCCTCAAAGAAAGCTTTCATAGATATACGAACTTTGAAGGAGTCGCTTGTAAATGGTTTCGTGATATCAAATTTATCGTAGGCAAGACAGGGATAGCCATATTCCTAGATGGCTCTCATAAAATATTTTTGAGATACTGTTTCAAAGTTCGTATATCTAATGAAGCCTCCCTTATTGACGTCATTATCCTTAGCAGATTGTAAGATAAATCCTTCGCAACTCTAAGAAGCAGCACTGAAATTCAGGAATATTTCACCATTCAAATATTTACTTTATATAGAATCTGAGTTCAMAGAAAATCAGCAATTATTGTACGTAGCAGKCGTCATAGGCACTTAAAGAATAAGAAACGTATTGCAAGAAATAACTTAATATCCTTATTTGATATATACAAATGAAAAGTTACCTGCATGGGAGAACGTATTGGAGCGATGGTCACCATCCATCTCAAAGTGCGCATTGAAGCCYYTGTGCACGGTTTGTGCGTTATAATCACTCACGAACAATACAGCCATCTCATTGGATAAGGAAAAGATCGGCTTTTCTGGAATGACACTACCACAGAACCGACCAAGTAACTCACCGTTCCAACCCTCGGGTTGCCAATCTCTTATTTCGACGTAGTCGTTGAGGCAGTAGTTGTCATTCTCCAGCTCAAAAGCCTTAAAGGTGAGTTTGACGCGAAATCCATTGGGAACAATGAGTCGCCACATTATACACTGACCTGTAATGTATTTTGATGGGTACTTGGGGCTGGAAATGCTTCCCCTTGTTTCGTTGATGATGTTTTTGGAATTGCGACAAAGTGAATTAGATTTAGCCATTTCGTTCACTACCGTTATTTTTCCTTTGAAACCTTTGAATTCTGAAAAAGGATCTGAATGAAATCGTAGCCAAAATTCCTTTTGATTTGATATTTGATTGGAATAGATGCGAATTTTGTCTGATCGACTTTCCTGTAGAGTTGCAATGGCATTTTTGGAGTACAATGAGCATTTTCTATAAGAGTAAGAGACTGTTGATAAATCACTTTCCCTTTCAGAATAAGACAACCAATCACAACCACAGCTCGTACAAGGCTCTATTTCCAAGGCGTCGAACACCAACATCATCCTATAACTTTTGTGTACATTTTCCAAATATTGAGGGAAAAATACTTTCCAAGTACAAGTTTGGTTGGGCTGGTAATTGTTTGGAAAACCTGGACTTTGGATCTCGTACTTCCAGCCAGTTTCGAGAGTAGCATCTACATTAAGAGCATCCTTTGCACAAGCTGAAAGAAGCAAATCCCATATTATCCAAAACTGAAGCGTTTCATATTTGTAATACATACTTCGATGAACTAATCAGCTCTATAATTAATACTTACTTGTAGCAGTTATGCAATGATCTTTCACCAAACACAAAACTAGCACTGAGGAAAAAAAATTGGTTGGATGAAAAAATGCATTTTATTACAACCGTCGCTATTAATAAACCTTAGCTTTATTTTCGAAGTGATAGGCTTCCTGACATGATCGTGGTCGGCGGTCACACGGTGAATTTTACTTTGCCAAAAAAAATCACTTTGATAGTATTTTTTTAATTTTTACAAGGCAAGAATATTCTCTCACGATCCAGCGATTTTGTATATAATAAAAACATTATTCCACTCAATTTAAATATAATGCACTGAAAATGAAATGCGCGCAACTATTTCAAACGAGTCACTATATACTATGGAATATCGTCATCACAAACTTGAGTAGGTATAATTAAGAATTGTAATGATTATTGTTTTTAAGTCTATGTGCCATTTAATAGTAACAAAATATGTTTTGCATTTTTGTTAATGTCCTTCTGGTAACTAGATCAGCAACAGCAGCTCTGACCATGAAGAAAACTTACCGGTATTGAGAGCCAAGAGAACATGCATTGTCACGGGCTTCAAGTTGACTAAACCTTTGTGTACATCTATATCCTCCTAAAATGCTGTTTTGCCTTAGTTATGATGTCATAATAAATCATTTTTTACTGTTTTCATTGGCAGATATGCAATCAACTGATGCAGAAGTCTGACTGATGGGCATATTAGGTTCCCTCTCATGCGTTTTCATTCGCGCTATTTCGTTTCTCTTGAAAGGAAACGACTAAAATGAATACGAAGGCAACTATATGTCAAAGTATAATTGGCGCTGATTGGCGGTTTCACGAGAAAAGCTATGGTTTATTTCTCCGGTAAACCAGGCTGCTGTCTTGAAAGACTTTTGAGTCTAAATATGGCGGACGCCGGCTATAAGATCCTGGCTATAATATAAAAGCAATAAACGATACCATTAGCTTCAAGCGGTTTACCGGCCTGACGGCTCGCCGGACTTACAGATCTTTTCTCGTGTTCTCCCAACCATCCCGCGCGGTTTACTTCGCCCGTAACAGCACCAAGCTATCGTTTATTACTTAATTACATACTAATTCGAAAAATTTGGAAAAAACGTACTGAGATAAAATATTCATATTCATTTACTAGTAGAGCATTCAAAACTTCGTATATCCGCGACGTTTAGAGTTCGTACAGCGTCTACTGAGTTACTGCCGAATCATTTGCGATTGAATAACATAATATTTCGTAAAGAATGTCTGCGGCAACCATGTCCTCTAGCATGGCGAATGATACAATTCAAGCCTAAATATTTCGGGAACTAAAAAAAAATTATGAACCCAAACCTTGTAATGTCTTTCCATAATAGTTATCTGTCATATCATATAACTAATGTTTCTAGCTCTTCGATCTAAATTTCATTCATCACTCTTTATCACTCTAATCCTTTTCGATAATTCCAAAGCCTGAACACCTGTGGTTGAAGCGTTGAAGCATCCATGTTCGAGTGAGATTAACAATAACAATAAGTATTCAATGAAATCAGACAGATTAACAGACAATGGTTTCTATCATTCCTTAATACAGAACTATATAAGCTACGACAGGAAGATCTCTAGTTTCCTATAGGTGTCTTTTTATGTTCTGCCCTTATTTGGTGGTGGACATACGTCTTATAAGATCTTCAACGGCCAAGGGTTTTTGTTTGTTCGTTGTTTGTTAGTCACTGTTACATTCTTGTGCGACCAGGTGTTTCTTCATGTTTCTTGATCACACAACACGGGTTTTCTTTTGTCATATGAACGTTTTCGTTGGGTGCCGTATTTTTTAGGATAAATTTTTTTCGAGCCTCGCGATTTCTGAGACACCATTCTACACCCCTATAACACGGATACGGGTTTTCTTCAGCATACATGCAGATTTCTAGCTGGGTGATTTGAGAAAATTCGACTAGCCAATCAGCGCAAAGCTGACAAGCTTATGTTGTAAACATAACCCCCCGACGGGAGGAATTTGCACAGCAAAACTCGACCCAGTGGAGTGGGCTGCCTGCCATTTTATTCTATCCGAAAAATCAAAGCTAAAACGCAAAGAGAAATTGAAAATCTTTATAAAATAGCTTTTATTAAATGTCAATCAAATATTTATCGTTATAGAAATAGAATTTTATCTTAAAAATTCAATAATAAATAATGTTTTCTTTAATACCAAGAGCCTCCCCTCCCTGATAAAAATAATTGGTCTGTGTTCTACGCGGGTTCTCCATTGCATGCGAAGCAATGGACGACTTCACGAAGACTTCAGAAGGTCGTTGAAGCRAMRTTCAAGTCCAAAGTATCTTAGGAGGAACCATTGCAAATCCTTTTTCTTAGCTCTTGTTTCCTCTAAGCTTTGAGGTATCTACAACATCACTGAAAGAGATAGAGCAGCTTAGCTCCACGTATTCCAATAGAGTTAAAGTGTTTGTTATTTTTCAGTGGTAGTGACAACAGTCGTAGTTCATCCTTTGTCGCATTTTCGGCAATAAGCCGCAAGCGTGATCGACGATACAACAGGTTGACGTTATGTAACAGGCCGGTTACACATTTACACTAGCTTTGACCTTACAACGAGAGCTAGTACGGTGACTGGGGGGTTTTTCGCGTAATGTCTTGATAGCGACTGTTTATGTTGAAACGACTCAAAACAAAATTCCATCGTGAAAAAAAGTTCGACTAAATTCCCTTCTGAAAAACACGTGTGTATTTAAGGTGGAAAATGTTTGATATGAGCATTCAATTCTTAAAGGTTTAATTCTATAATCATTTTGTTTAGTTATGTAAATAAATTTAACACGACTTGTACTGTTTATCTGAGTGAAAGGAGAGCTGCGGGTTTTCCCTTTCCTTTATTTACATTTTCAAATATGACCGCTTAACAAAAATGCGCGGGCTCACTGGCTTACAACCTTGGCGAATTCATAGGCAGGCCTGGTCGCAAATCAATCACCCAGAAGGTTTTTTTCCCTAAAAACCGTGTTGATGGCTCTGGCTTTCATAGTTTCAAAATATACTTCAGGCCATTGTGAAAAGGTCACGGATTTTATCTCTCATTTATTCTTAATTCTTTCATTTAGTTTCATCATTTATTTCTTATTGAATGATTGACGGCACAATGTCACGTGACTGTGCAAACGTGAATAAATAATTTGCAGCGTATTCTTATCTGTAAATTCAATATTTTTTCGTGTTGCATTCAGATGTTTTGACGATATCGATCATTTGCTTGAATTCACCGGCAAATAATTTAGCTGCATAATTTCACATTCCAATAATTGGATCCCCGGCTTTTTTTAGACTGATAAGGTGATTAATTAGTCGGGCTAGCTATATTGTAGGCCGACTTTAGTTTTATCTTTTTGCCATTAGAATCGCACTACTCATATTATATACACTAGTGCAGGATGTATTTTTATCACATTTCTTTGTATAGACAAAAATTATTGCCAAGTAACACTGGCCTTCATTAATTATGAACTAAAACGGCAGGTGAGTGAAAGGGCAGCTTGAAACAGGACCAACATCTGTCATTTCCTCCAGTGGCCGGGGATCCCATGTCTGATATCCAATTAAGAGACGTCAGGGTCCTCGTATTTCCGAAGGAGGTCGACTGTAGGCTGCATAAATCACTCCGCGGTAAAGTAATCGTTGGAAATTTTCAAAAAGACCCCTAAAAGATCCCGGAAGTCTTGGAAAAAAGGGTGTGGTTGACTTATTTATAACCCCTAAGATTGCACAAAAAATATTGTTAAATTAAATCAGTTCCAATCATAAAACAAAACATAGAGGGAAATCAATATCGATGAGCTCTTTTTCTTCTTTTCCGACATTCTAAGAGATTGCAGGAAATGCAAATTTGCAGAAACTCTGAATTGGCACCTTAAAAGATTCTCCATCACAATTTTTTACTCCTAAGAGATCCTACGAGCATCCCCGGTACTTACCCCGGTGTCAAAAAAAGTGAAAAAGTATTATTTTGTTGAATGTACTATAAAGGACTAAAAGCCCTAGAAGAACGGCTGATTAACATGGCGAGTAGGACACTGGGGAAGCGCGGAGAGGAAATGAAAGCCACACTGGCTAGAGTTTACAGAAAGAGAGAAGTAACCCGTGGAAAACAGAAAACACGAATACTTTCCTTATTTTGTATCTTCATGATAATGATTTTTGTGGGGTCCACCCCCTACTGAGTGCCCCGCACCCCTCCCCTGAGGAAAATCCTGGATCCACCCCTGTGTATTAATCCACTCCGCCTCTCATCTAATTTTGTTTGTAGATTGTAGAATGGAAGGAAAGCCTCCTAGCTTGGCAGAGTTTAGCGATTGCAGGAGTTTCGCCCGTGCAGCAGACAGAGCATTATATCAATGTGTTGATATCTTAACATTACACTACCCATTAGAAGTATTAGAAGTAGCGCTGAGATGATTAAATAATGTCACCATGTTGGATCAAAAGGAGATTTTGTGACCTTTTGTCTTCTTTATTTGCATATCACATTTGCAAGGGCCTCCAAGCAAAAACAAATGATTTCAAAGAGTACATTTGAGAATTTATCTCAAAATACTGCGCAGAAATTGCATCAGTGCGTTTCCATTTAGTATCGGTCGTTATATTTTGTTTTTAAATGAAATCATATCTACTCGTTGCTCTCTAAAAAAAATAATAAAATAATTTAAAGTGTTGTTGTTGTTGTTTTTGCTGCTTTGTCGTTGTTGTTTCCGTTTTTCTTTTGGCGCTGTTACAGCTGTTTGTTAGTTTTTATGTTTCTTATAGAGATATTGTTATTGTATCATTTGGCTTAGGTAATATTTCTATTTTGGGTTCACTGTTATTGCACCATTGACTAAACACACAGGAAACCCAAGCAGGCGGGAGACTGGTACCCATTTATTTGTTGCACCATCAATCGCATATAAATCTCAAGCAGCCTCGTTACATAATATTTCATTTCTACAGTTCAACGGCATAACATTGATATTGGAGCTAAGGAATTCTCAATACAACAGTTCTTCCGTAGTCCAAATGAGCCAATTGTCTGAACATAGTGTTCCGATATCTCTTGATTTCAACAATATTTCGCTGAAGATCGACGATCGTCAAATTCTAGACGATGTAAGCGGCAAAGTGAAACCTGGCCAGTTATTGGCTATTATGGGCCCTAGCGGTAAGCAAAATATCAATTTATTTTATTTTAGGTAGATTTTTTCACTTATAAAGGTGTAGAAAATAGCAGGCGCCATTTTGTCTAGGTAACTGGGGTCTCACGAAATGGGTTATTGGAATTTAAACTATATAAGCTTTAAGTAGCTAAATGTCACTTTCCTGCATTTTATTCAAGATTTAAGCTTAAAAATAATATCATTTCTCAATGTATGCGATATTATGATATTAAGTCTGATATTGAAGAACAGACAAGTGTTTAAGATTTATTACATTAAGATTACTTCCTAAATATTGTACTAGAGTAAATAAGATTTTAAAGATTAAAATAACTTTTAAATAGGTTGCAAGAAATGAATTAAATTCTGCTATATTATATATAATGCTAAGAATTTTTTTATTTTATATATTTTTTTCTTTTTGTATTTTTTTTTTCCACATTGTTTATTTTTTACCAATTTTGTTAAATCAGAATTATTTATATGGTAAATAAAGTAACTTATTAATTACATTTAATATCCTAAAGTCCCAAATTGCTGATGTCATGTTGTTAGTTGAGATCTATATGGTTTTGTATTGCACTATATTGCAGCTGTTTAGTAATATCAAACTTTGTGCTAATTAACTTTGTAGGATATAGCAGTTTCATGTATCTTGCTGTAGTTGACTAAAGTCTAACTTAACTTGTTTACATATAGCTTACTTAATAAATTAGTTAATAAAAAAATCAACGAAACTGTATGCATGAGCAGAAACAAGGTATTTGAGCTACTTATGTTAGATATACAGTAAGGCCTTGGGGTTAAGGTTTAAGGATGCTTTCTTGTCCTAATATACATATACATATGAAAAAATATTATTTCAAAACCTGCAAAACATGTAGTTTCAGTGTATGTACCATACTCAGGTTCAATGAATACAAAACATTTAACAGAGGTGCCAAGGTGCAATGAATATAAGAGAAAAACATCTAGCTGTGGTCTTTGTTCTTTAGCACTTATCATGTCAATGATTTTGTCTGTATTTTGTGAAAGTTGACCTTGGGATACTCGTAAACTATAACACAAAAAAGTAAAACGATAGAATGATCAATATTACACTTATTGCAGTCTCATTAACACACCAATATTATATTAACAGAAACATCCTTTGTCAAATTATTGATCTTTTAAGTGAAATGGAAACCTCATGTACAAATGTTTGTTTAGTATTGATAATCCCTAGATCTATGTTTAAGATGGTGCAATTTGTTTTTATGGATTTGAATACAGTCATCCCTCATCAACTCTCTTGAGTTCAGTGAACTTGAAATGACCTCAGATGCATGTAACACATCAAACAGCTGCAAATATTTTTTGTTGTTGTCAATGTTTTAAATAAAAGTAAYGTTTGTCTTTTTCATCACTGTCTAATTTATTAAGTTTTGCGTTGTTAGTATTGCACAATGTCTCATTGTCATGCTATTCTGTTGACCTTGAAAATTAATATTTAGTCTATTTGTTGTAAAGAACAAAAGAACAAATAGATTCAGAATGTGATAAATTGCAACATATTTTTTATTCTCGAATGTTCTACAGTTAGTCAACTGATAAACAACACCAGAGTCTGCATACATTGTTTGTACATATTGTAGTCATGTTTCAAAAGTGACAAGTATGACCGAAAGGGAGCTTGGGATAGCAGATATCTCAAGTATGACTGTGTTTTTAATGTAAAAAGGTTAAATAAAATGAACCTCTCTTACAAGTAATATCCTTTGATGTAACATGATTGTTTACTATTTGCTTCATTCAATAATATGCCAGCTGTCTCTATWAGTCTAAAATTTAAGCTAAAATATAACAGACTCTTGAATCTGGAATATAGAAAACTATCAATGTTAAATTGTAACTTTRTTAAAACTTAGTTTAGTTTATAGCCATGTTGTATGGGAACTACTATCTCAAGCCGCAGGCGATAAACGACTAGGTTGAATCTTACAACAGCCATTTATTAGAAGTGCATAGAGCAGAAAGGTATAAATAAATAGTGATGTTTTTCAAAATTACTGCAAATATACAAATGCTGTACAAATGGATTCTGAGTTATGAACTTAATGGTTTTATAGCTTTTAAATGAATTGCATTTTAGGCTCAGGCAAAACAACTCTCCTAAACATTCTCTCTGGCCGGTTGAATGCTGACAGCGGTGATGTACTCATCAATGGGAAACACATCACTAAACAGTTAAAGAAAAAAATTGGTTTTGTTCTGCAGGAAGACATCTTCTTCTCACATCTTACCCTGAAAGAAACATTGACAGTATGTTATTTTATATTTTGACTTTAATTTGAAATTTTGAATTGTGCCTTGACTTTGACTAATATTCTTGCAAGGGCTTACATAGGCCRCMCAACTATTGCTTGAGAGAAGGAAAAGAACTAATGCGYACGCTTTTAATTCACACTAGTAAGTGTTATTGGTRSACTGCGGGTTACCTGTGGTATGAYGTCACTGATCCCTTGCCTCWCGGGATCAAAAATATCCCGYGAGACACRGGATCGTGACATAATACCACAGGTAACCCGCATTTAGCTAAGAGCTAGCGCACGSCGATAACACTGGCAGTRCTWGCGTAGCGTGCACATTCGTTAATTTCTTTCGCTCAAGCAACAAAGTTAGGTGGCCTATGGGGCTTATTGTGTTTTAAGAACTCAGTTTTTATCAATTTCTATACTACGGTATTTTTCACATATATAACAAAAGCAGTCTCAAAATGTTTTCACATATTCTAGTACCAAGAATCTCATGTGTTTTTCTAACAGAAACTTAAAATTGCATTTAAACATACTTGAATATATTGGCTTGATTATTATAATAATTAAAATGTAAAGTATAAATTAACTGATTTTTCCCTCAATCAGTATTCAGCACTCCTTCGCCTCCCTGACACTTTATCAAAGAAAGAAAAACTACAGAAGGTAAAGGATGATAGTTGATAACAGTTTGAAATCGACTTTCAGGAGTGTGTAGTGTCATAATTGTATTGCTGGTCACTTTGTAAAACAGACCATTATGTATGTACTAGAAGAGCGGATTTCGTATGACTGTGCAAAAAACACGGTACGTTCGTGCTGTGTCCGTACCGTGCCGTAGCCATGATGCATTGGAAAATCTTTACTTTCATTTGAAATCCTAGAAGGCGAGGTTCCGTGACCGTGCCGTGCCGTGTCTGTGTTGTGATCCGTGCTTTTGCACAGTCATGCGAAATCCGCTCTATGTAGTGATTAGTCGACAGTGATAATTGTAAATAAGCAAATGTTTTTTTSTTCAACTCAGGTTGAGGAAATAGTTGACATACTGGACATCAGAAAATGCCTAGACACACGTAAGCTAATAATTAATTAATGAATTGTTAATAATAGCTATCTTACCAAAATACTCTATAATTTTCAAATTCTCTCTTTCTGGCTTTTCACAGTTCTTTTCACAGTTTTTTTTTCAATTCCTTCATTCATTCCATTTATTTCAGGTATTGGAAGCCCACTTACAAGAGGACTTTCTGGAGGTAAGTTACTCTTTGTATTCATTSTGCCTTATTATTTCTCCCTTTACTTCCTCGCCTTGGGTTCCCTGTGGAGAAAGTAGGGGACTGGTGATAATTTTGAAGGTGAAGTAAATTGAGAGTTAAACACCTCTTTACTCCCTGGACCTCAGCTAGACTCTGATACAGTGTTCGTTATTTACAGTTTCTATTCTTTATCAGGGGAATAACCCTGAAATGCATTGGTATAATATTTTATTTGTGAAATCATAATTATAAAGTCTCTTTATTCATCTAATCAACCCTATACAGCCATTAACAATATGTATTTTTTTTCATGTATTTCTTTTTTACTTTCTAATTTCTTTCTTCTTTTTTTTCTATTTCTAGGAGAGAAAAAACGTGCAAACATAGGCTGTGAATTGATAACCAACCCATCTATTCTCTTCCTTGATGTAAGTTTARAGAGCAAAGTCATTTTAACTTCTATTCTTCTGTTCTCATACGAGTTCCTTAACTTTTCACAGGAGCCAACATCTGGTCTTGATTCAAGTAATGCTAAAAATCTAATCCAAACCTTGAGCGCGTTCGCTGCTCAAGAAAAGAAGACRATACTAATGAGCATTCATCAGCCRTCAAGTCAGATTTTCCATTTGTTTGATAAGTTATTGCTACTGTGTAATGGAAAGGTATATTTTGATTTAAGATTTTTATGATGATTATTATGGTGTCAATGTCAATGTGGCCATAGAAATCAATGCCCGATTTCATACCGTGGGAGACTGGGTACAAGTCCCTTAATTCTCACGATGGTGAGTAGTTTGCTTCGCATCCGTTTTCTGTGTCAAAAACAGGAAGGGTATTCTTCGCGTTTTGACACCGGAAAACGGATGCGAAGGAGACTAGATAGTGAGATAAGACTCATTTAGAACGAACGATCGCACTGTGAATAAGAAACTCCCAACGTTTTATGTTAATCGGATCAAATGTAAGCGATTGGCAGCTTTTCAAAAATTTCTAGATTTAAGGAGGAATGTATGGGAATTTAGAAAAATACGGATGCAGCGTCCGGCATTCAGTATTATACATTTTTTTCGGAAATACTCCAGTTTCGAATTCAAAGCGAATAACCGCTGTTTTACTTGATAGCAGATTCTATTACGCACAGAACTTACCAAAGACAAAAGAAAGCACGAGAAAATGTTGTTAATACAATAGCGCTAAGAATCTACATTTTCCCCGAGTTGAGGCTAACCCTGCTCAAACCTTAGGTCTTATGGGAATACAGGGATAATCTCAAGTCGGGGAAAATGCAAATTTTCAAGCCTATTGTTATAACGACATTTTCTCGTGCTCTCTTTTGTGTTTGGTAAGGTCTTTGCGCAAGAGAATCTGTTGTCAAATAAAGCAGCGGTTATTCGCTATGAATTCGAAACTGGAGTATTGCGCGTTTTTGAAAGGCTGTAAATCGTTACATATTGAGCTGATCAATGCCAGATTCGGACACAGTTAGTATTTCTCAAAGCGGTCTTTCGTTCTGTATTGGTCTTATTAATTCRTCATGCCAATAAAGGGACTTGTACCCAGTCTCCCACGGTGCCAAACGTTTTCCAACTTATTCATCTTCAGGACTAAAAATTAACTTAAAAAAGGTTTTTTTTCTTTCCTTTTTTTTCATTTTAATTTTTACTCATGAAGATGAACTGATAAGTTCAACAACGTTTGACAACATTATTGCCTTATTTATCTACAATGTTCATTCAGAACATTGTAGATAAATATTCTGGTTATTCTGGTTATGTACTTCTGATTCATTTTAATATGGTTTTGTCTCCACTGCGCACATTAAAGCGTCTCAATATCCTACATAACGATTTCTTTCCTTTTACAGATAGCATTTTATGGCAAGGCATCAAAAGTTTTAAACTTCTTTAGCAGTATTGGTCTTGAATGTGAAAAGCATTTTAACCCAGCAGATCACATTCGTAAGTTTCAAGCTTTCATAAAGTAGATCTTTTACTCTAATGACGTCATGTTTATTTGGCCGAAATGCATCATGGTATTAGTGAAATTTTAAAGATGGCGGATATCTGAAAACTACCAGGGATAAAGTTTCTTTACAAAATTGACGTGGTTGAAGGTCAAAAATCCTTTACAAGAGCATTGAAAATGCGATTTATACACACTAGCATATTTTAAAACACTTGYCTGGGAAGTAACTATGCTTGGTTTTCAAAAAAAGGTCTGAAACACCATTAACGAGAACGAAAAACCACACTTCTCTATTTATAAAAAGTACTTTTGTCAAGATCCCAAGGAGCATCTCGCCCATGTCATTAGAGAAAAGGAATTTAGTAATCATTTTTCAATCTTGTCAAAAATCACCAGAATGTTTATGAAATCATTATGTTTTAGTGGAAAAGGTAACTGCCGGAAAAGAGACAGAAGACTTCATAGTAGAATCGTGGTCCAAAAGGTGAATAAAATTTGCTTTTAATACACATTTTCAGTTGCTCTTAGGCCTCGAGAGCGTGTTAAATATTCTTTTGAATTTGTAGGAATGTGAGCAATGCAAACATTGATGTGAATAGTCTCATTTGTCAAATTCAAAAGAATAATTTACTTGCTATCGAGGCCTAAGAGCAACTTAAAAGGTGTATTAACATTTATTTAG